CTATCATCTACCAGCTTTGATCCGGTCCACGTGCGCTCTCAACAATTATCTTTTTTCCATCAAAACTCGAATCTCCCAATTGTGATTTCTGTAACTCTCCAGAGACATCAAACACTTCTTAATCTACTGTCCGAAATTCAACCTTCAAAGAAAATTGTTCAGAAACTCTCCCACATCAGAAAAAATCAAGATCAATGTCAACTCCGTCAAAAGTCTACTCGATACACCTAGATGTTTAAATCTTCTCTCACAATTCATTATCAACACTCATAGATTCAAAAATCTAAAAAATTATCTCGAAAAGAAGAAAACTAAAAAAAAAAAACAATATAATAAAATCTCTTTCAGTTATCCTTTTCTTTGGTTAAAAGTCATCAATTTCTTTGGTCTAAAAGTTATCACTTTCTTTGGTTAAAATTCATCATTTTCTTTGGTTAAAAGTTATCAATTTCTTTGGTTAAAAGTCATCAAAAAGTTATCAAATTCTTGCGCATCATTCTTCATCACATTTATTTACTTATCACACAGGTATATCAATATTGGTAGGGATATTGGGCTGGATACAAGAGTTGGACGAATGAGTTTGACTTTTCCCTGCTTCAAAAACGAGGGTTTGTGGTTTAGGGCACCACAAAATACTCTGTCTGGTCCACAGAGTATGGAAAGTTGAACTTGTTCGGCCTTCCCTATTTTCAGACCCAAATAAAGAGTCGGAACCATTTCAATCTTTGTTTTTCGTCTATCTTTTTTTCTTCTTCTTTTCTTTCATCAAATCTTTGCCAGTTTTCATCACCCAGTTTCTTAATTTAGAAGAATAAAATACTATTAATTTTCTTTAAAATAGTATTCTCAAACAAATTGTTCAAAAACGTCATCCATCTTCACCATCTGCATCCTCCTCGGGATCGATGGTTTCGTTGGGGTTGGGCTGAGAGTCTAGGGGTCCAACCTCGCGAGAGGGTCCTGCCACTGGCTGATTGTCGGGGTTGTCATTCTCAGAGTGGGCCTCATGGGTTGAGTGGGACTCGTTCATGGGTTTCTTGCTCACCATGGCGTCAGATGACCCGAAAGCGGGGCCGGTTGCTGCTTCGTGTAGGATCGAGACAAGGTTGGGAATGTTTTTGCCTGTGGGCGCCGAGGGTTGTTGGACATGAGTTGACTCCAACCATTTCGCGCCCTTCAAAAGCTGGGTAGCAATTGGATAGGGGAAGCCCATCTGCTGGAGTACATGGAGGGTCGTGTCGAGGAAGAAGTCCCATTGTGTAATGTGGCTGAGGCTGATGAGGACCCTTGGCACGTGGTCGTCCTCTGAGAAGTTACAGAGGGCAAGAAAACCATCAATTGTGAGGGCGCGCCCCAAATCGTTGATGGCCGACTGGAAGGAAACCCTTCCAGCCGGTCCGTCGCCGGCCCTTTAGAGAGTGGGTATCCGAGGATACCCGACCGGATACCACCGGTGGGCCAGTTACGCTAACCGTAGTGTTAGTGTAGCGTAGTGTTAGCTTTTTAAGCTACGCTACACAAAAGTTACCGTTAGCGGGAATTTTTGGCCCACTAACACTACAGGATTTTTGAAAAAACAAAAAAAAACTTTAGCGTAGTGTTAGCTGCCTTTAAAAAGGTACAACTAACACTACCCAAAATCCTGTTAGTGAAATTTTAGCGGTGTTAGTGGGTGAACCCACTACGCTACATGTTAGTGTAACGTTTTGCAAAGTTACACTAACAGTTAGCGTAACTGGTGAAAAAGTTACACTAACTGTTAGCGTAACTGATTAAAAGTTACACTAACTGTTAGCGTAACTGAATAAAAGTTACACTAACTGTTAGCGTAACTGATTAAAAGTTACACTAACTGTTAGTGTAACTGATTATGTAGTTGGAATAATATGTAGGTTACCTCAGACATAGTAGAATAAGGACCTCAAAAAGTGTTTTTCAGATAATTACTTGGGAAAAAACCAAGTAATCATACTGTAAGAGGACAAATTATCAACTAAAAATCAACAAATATGGATGGATATTTTTTTCTTTCTGGATAGGCGTGGTTAAGAATGAGGGATGAAAAGAACTACTCATATTGACTTTTTTTTTCTGGTAGATTAGGTATTAGTGAAAATAAGGAAATTGATTTTTTTTTGCTTTTGAATTTTTTTATACTAAGATTTTTTTTTTTG